ATTCTCACTGCATCCGGTCGAAGCCGCTGCTAAGGAAGAAAGAGCACTCTTCCTTAGCAACTCCAAGCTGCACCAAAACCAGTCAACCTATTTCTACAAGCTGCAACCCGTTGACAGTATGCAGCAAGCAGCAGTCCAGCAACAGCAGACGGTTCTCGGGTAATCGGAGCTAAGTGGCATTCTACATTCTGTAGACAGTTGGGTTCGCTCGTCTGCCCACGCTCTCTCTCGCCTATAAGCCTTGACAGAGAGTCTAACTGAACCGCAATTTACTTGTCACATGAAAGTATCTAATCCATAGTCTTCCGCAACCATCCTGGTCAAACCGGTCGTGCAATATCGACAATGATCTAGCTGTCGGAGTGGGCAGAGGGGAAGCAGGCTGTGGTTAGAGTGGGCCGCATATACGGAAGATGAAAAACCGGCGTGGGGAGCAAGTGCGAGGTTTGCGGAAAATTGTACAGGAAAGGTGAACCCCAGATGGATAATGATCAAGGGCTATTCGAAGAGCGGACAGTGGGTACCTTCAATAGGGGCGTAGAGTAAGCCGTCCAGAGGTCAGTAAAGTGAAATTATAAGAATTGCCCGGGATACAGCTGCGAGGCTCTTCTCGGAGGAACCTTCAGGAAATTTATGGAATGCATTGCTGGGAGCAAGCATTTTAATCACATGGACATTGATATAGCTCGCTTGGCATACGATAAATATGGGCTGGACAGAATTAGTTTGCGGTATGGAGAATTAATAGACACTCTAGAATCGAGAAAACCTCCGGCTTTGCCTTGGAAAAGGTGATAAAGAAAGTCGAGGAGGAGGAAGTGGGGCAAAGGATTGCAGGAGCTCGACATATTTTGCAGCACAAGTGAGTGCCGTCCTTCTCGAAAAAAAAACGGTCCTAAACGAGAAATCTCACCGAGAGTGGCCGTAACTTTCATGCAGATAAGTAGTGAAGTACTCAATGGACGACACCCGCAATTTGGACAACGGATCAGAAAAACGTCTGGCCAATAAGTCAGAAAATCAGTGAGGATGAAATGATGGAGATAGTGAAGCCCTGTGAAAGGCACTTTGAAAATGGTGGCCGCATTATCACGGCCTGGCCGCCGATAGTTGCAAAGAATGTGGAGCTGTGGAAGAACGGCAAGTGTTCGGAAGTTACTGGATACGGCCCCAGTAAAAAATGACCACGGCCGGACAATTTTTCTTAACCTGCAAAGTCGGGAATCGTCGATGGAATAGTATTTTGTGAGATTGGAGCTCCCGAATCTGCGCTGTTATTTTGCTCACAGTAGCATGTGCAAAAGCACTCTATGCGGCTATTAGGAAAAGGTAGATGGTGATCCGCCCTCCTACATGCCGCCCCTCCTAGACATTACCATTTACAGTGGTAACACACAGACACCGTACCATTTACATTGGCGGTCCCGTTACCGAAGCTCAGGAGACAGCCTCAGCTGCTGAGGACAACAGCTTGGAGGGGGCGACATGTAGAAGGGCAGATCAATTGTGCTCAGAGGCAGGAATGGGCACCGCGATCTTGGGGAATAGAAAAGAGTGATGACGACATGGGGCCCTCGTTCTTATTTGAATCGTATTGACGTCTTGTTATTGTAAGTTGTTGTTGTTGTTATAGCGAAAGAACTTCTTCATAAAATTCGCCTTATACCCAAGTGAACCGTCTCTGTAGGTCTTATTTGGTTGATGTTCTAGTGACTTTTCGGTAAGGAACACCCCCTCCTGCTTTTCCGCGCCTTCTCAGCGAGATGGCATTAACCTACGGATAATGATTGTTGACTAGTCTTCCACTGTTTTTACCACCTTTTTTGCCGACCGTGGTAAGAGTGAGCCAGATTGCAATGTATCGCGCGCAGTTTGTACGAGCCCAGCGACACACTCACGCGGCAGGAACAAGCGAAAACACGGTTGTAATGATGAGGTCAGTAGGGGCGTATCAGCGTGGTGTGGGTTTCGACGCTGCACCAGCCGTTTCTCATCACTCAGTAATCGGCAGGCAACGATAGATGGTGAACGTACTGGCGTCGCGCCAAAATCCATGGAAAGGAGGAATTGAGGAATACGATTGGGGATCCAAGGAGCTGAGGAGTGCCCTCGCCTTTCTCTGATAAGCTTCACGACCGAATACAGAATTTCTGACCGTGATAGCATCACTCGTTAAATGATAATTGTTACAGGCTGTCTCTGGAGATCGAAAAACAAAGCATACCTGACAAAGGTGTTGAAAAAGTCTATCAATAGGATAAGAAGGGTGATAAAAACGCACGAACATAGAGGTGAAAGAAGCTCCGCATGTTAAAGGATTATAGATGATCACTCGGGAAAATTTCAGAGTTGTTTTTAATATGCCCTTTTCACAAGCTCCTCTCAATTCGGGGACTGCGTGGTTGAAAATAGCGCTGAGGTCGAACTCGTTTTTTGCAGGCACTCCGTTTTTCCAATAGATAATCGACACTCCGAGCGTCTTTCAGTATCAGTTAGATTATTCACTGAGAATCACTAACACTCATCGCTCAGCCAGCATCGGCAGAAAAATAAATCTGGTCTTCTCGCTTTCTAGAACAGTAGAAGAAGCTACGAAAAGGTGAGCCACTTATTATTAGCGGAAAGTTGGATTAAACGAGATCACAAGGGCCACAGGAAGTTAAAATGCCGCCTTCAATTTTTGTAAAATCGATGATTTGCGACGAATCAATCCGTGTCGCTTTGCTATAAGTTCCGTCAACGTTGTCGAAACGCTCTGAAATTCAGACCATTCGATAGCCTTGAATATAACGAAGTCACTGAGCCAGATCT